GCCACTATAACTGAGTATACTACTTATATATGTCGTGTGGTACCGTTAGTCATTCTAAAATTCCATTCTCATGAACTCGATGCTTAGGCTTTAAGTGGATTTTAATCGGAACTAGCTATAAATTGTATATTCTTATTAAAAGGATTTTAAGCGGATCTTGAATAGAAAATCCAAATGTGTGTTTTGCCAATATAACTGATTATACTACTTATATTTAAAGAGATAGAGTTGAAAATTATTATTAACTGTTTAATATGAGTTTTAGCAATCGTTTGGGAAAAATTACCAAGTGGAATTAAAAGCATTGTGAAAACATTTTTTTGGTCACATTGTGCCATTTTTGGTGACTGACGCTCATATGAATTCTGTACTTGCCCTGCCACAATGATGCTAAGCAATCGCATCTGCGAAATGACAAGGTTCCCAGTACTGTTACCAGCTCTTGTAGAATTGTATCCGCCGAAGTAATAAGTCATTACGAAACTATCAAGTAGAGAAATTTCATTATATTTATTCAACTAATCGGTGTGCTGGGAAAAATCACATATCGCCAAAGATGTGTCTTAGGTTGTGGCGCCGAGTTGGGACAGAGACTCGACAGACAACTCTTGAGGTCATCTCGCAACCGGTAAAGGTCAAGAGGTTCGTTCTTGCAGCCTCTTTTTTGTTGAAGCTAACCGTCGGAACTTCGTTCACATTTCAATTCTTCCATTTCTACAAAACGATCTCTGAAGGCGTTAGTCACGATTATATTGCCCCATTTTGTCAATTATTTGTCATGGCAACCAAATATTTATGCGCACTGTGAGGCTTTTAGTGTAGCTAAAATAAATATGCAAACGTATTGATTAAAATGAGAACAAGACGAGTAAATGACAAATTATTTGTCGGGCTGTATGTTGAAAAAGCCTGCAATTCAGCGACTAATGCCGCTTCATGTGCCTGGAAATGTGGCGATTCCGAGTGTGTGCCGACGAGGATCGCGTTAGATTGCATATATTTTGTCTGTTTGTTGTGTGTTTTTTTCAACAGCCATCTTATGACTGGTTTTACGGCTTTACAGGCAATCTGGCCGAACAACGCCAAACTCGTCGGTCGCCACATGTCGATCCTACAATCGGCCCGTCCGTGTGGCAGAAGTGTTTGTGGACGTTGTGAAAATCGCGATATTCAACCTTTATCACACAACTTCGGCTCAGATCACACTTTCACACCTCCACCGGCGTCAACATATCACGAGCACGTGTGCCAATTGTGCATGCTTGCCAACAAACTGAGACCGAGTGAAGATGAACTGGTCGTCACACAAACTGGACGGCGGCATGCTCGAATGCGCGACCGAATGCGTCGGTAGCACAGCACTACTAAGTAGGGCGAGAAGTAGTATGTTGCCTGCGAGAGCGAATTGTTCGCCGGAATCAATTCCCATCCGTGGACCGATCTCGAACGATGGTGAAATGTTGTCTTTTGCTGAAATATGAGATTAGCTCCAGAGGAATGGAGAATAAACGGTATAGAATTGGCTGGTTGATGGAAATATTTTTTTTTAATTCTTGGAAAAACTATGATTTAATTTAAGGATCGCAGACAAGCTGAGGGCTAAAAAAGGTATCGCGTCTAGAAAATGTACATTTGCATGTGTGTGTTTGTGTGTATGTGTGGTAAATGCCTGTTATTGGAAAAAAAAAGAGAAAATTACAGATTGAATAAATGCGAAAAAGGATAATTGAAAATAAATGAAAAATTGAAAGGGATGCCAATAAGAAGGATGCCATCTTGAACCCAATTCTCTTCATGTAAAGTTGCTTAATCCCTGCTATTGGCAACAGTGAAAAAATCATTTTCCTGATTTGTCCAAAGAGCTGTTGTGGACCTTTTTAAGAACAGTTATTTCGTGTTTATGCTCATTCACAGCAACAATGCCCATCTTAAATGACACCTTTTTCAGCTTTTTCAACACCGAATCGCCATGGCAACAAGGGCATTTGACTCGATTTTACAGCCTCGCCCGAGCTGTGACGGATCGGTACCATTTGTACCGGACGCACGCGGATTGGCCTAGTCTGCGAATGCTGTATCATCATTTGGCGCTGTTTCCTGCGTGTAGAGGCGGTTGTTCACTTCTATTTGCTCTATCCTCTTCACAGCCTCTTTTACAGTCTCGTAGGCACGGTGTCGTCTTCACTCGGACGACTTGATCTGAAGCCGGACATCACTTATCAGTCAGACATGCGCTAGCAACGGTCGTCAGACAAGACGCCGATTGTGGTTTTCCAGCTATTTTTGCATGTTATATGAACGAATGAAAACGCGTTTTGAACTCGTCCAGTCACAGTAAAGGCCATTTTGGGCTGTGATGATGTTGCGATGGCGACAAAAGAGGTTGAGACTAAACGATACGTCTTATTGTGGACTCCGTTTACTCCGATTTAATGCCCCCCCACAATATGCCCAAATGTTTATTTGTTTATTTAATTATTTGATCATTTGTGTTTAATGTTCTCTTTGTTGGAGGAGACTAGCATTTGCGGGCTGAGAAGCAAAATAATGAGGCGTCGCCTTAGAAAAATATAAAAATAAGAAAGAATAAGTAGGTTGTAATTGCTAAATGGAATTTCATTTCGTGGCAATGTGCACAAAAACACACAAAAGCGCATAGAGAAACTCCGTCGAGCATTACAGTACCTGGGCTGACATAAAATGTACTAATTAAAGCATACACATTATATGTGCATGCACATATGTTTGAACATTTTCAATTATTTTCAAGAGAATAGGTGATAATTTTCAATCTGAATTACAGAGAAAATCTCACATTTATATGAAAAAATGATAACTTTAGAAGAATTCCATATAAGATTAGGGTGGCATACATTTAATTTCGTCTGAAAAATTGGTAGACAAGCATACATAAATTGATCTGATCGGATACCGAAGGTGAAAAAAAGAAAATTGTGCAAAGACATCGCCTTATCGTCCTGCGACCCCAACCCATGCATGCTCATCTTCAGTCTGTAATGTGGCGCAAGAATGTATCCGTTGCGCGGAATCTCCAAAAATGTGGCCGACTGAAATCCCACTGACGTCCTATAGACACCATTGTGATTTTAATGAGGCATCATGTGATTTGGTTGGCCATTTCATTCCCACCCCACATGTGTGTGGACGAGGGAAGATGACGTGGATGTGGTCACAGCTGATTCATTGTGCGCGAATTGGTGTGTATGCAACACTCTTGCGTCAATAATACACATTCTCCTCTTAATAATTATCTCTCTCTCACACTCTGTCCCTGTGTCTCTCTCCCTAATTCTATTCAGAAGACATTGATGCTTATTGCTTTACTTTCGACAATTGCATTTCAATTTTGTCAATTCTGTGGGTTGTGTGTTGTGACACCCTCTTCTGTATGTCTCGCCCACATAGGCACTACCACACAAGCACAAAATCCCGTAAGAAACCGATTTGCAGGAGGCTCTGAGGATTGCCTAAAAGAAGGTATGATCCATTTTCCTCACAAAATGGATTAGTTTCTTCGAAAACCTGCAGAAAAATAGCAGCATGTGCATGGAGGAAAGATCGTCTAATTCCTTCAAATGATATTTTCTTATAATTTAATTTCTCCGTATTTTGAAATTACTACCCTTTAACCATATGGGATAATTTTTCACATTTAAGTATTGTTTTCGTGGCTACCAGTAAATCAGTATTATGAGATGTATTCACCCGATTTCGTTTAAGCTGATGAAGGACTGGTAGAAGAATTTTCTCACAATCATATGAGTACAGCTGACGTGGGAAAATTCTTCAACCAGTCCTTCATCACATTAAATAAAATTGGGTGAATACATTTTATATGACTTTTATATTGTTTTTCTAAGAATCTTGTTTAACATGAACGACAAGTTTTGTTGGCTGGCAAATTAGGAGCAGTCGTAACTATGGAAAAGATGATGCAAGACCCTACAAAAACACTGTCGTCAAGACTTAAGCATGCATCAGCAATGGAGATCTGGAGGAGTGGAGAAGTGGAAAATAAATGCCATTCTTCAAAGAATTTCTACGTCTCGTAATACGTATGGTAAGCACAAATGTTGTG